TAGCTATCCATTTCTTTTAGCCAATCCAAGAAAACTTGTGGGTCAAGGGTGCCATCAAAGGAAAGGGCATCGATTCGGATGTTCTTGAGTAACTGAGCATCGTTATCTCTCCAAATCGGATCATGTCCTACAGGTTCCTGATTAGGTCTATGGTTTTGACAGTTTGGGTCTCGAGGTGGTGCATATTCAGCTCGAAGTTCTTCGGCATACGGGGACGGAGGTCTAGGAGTATACATCGTATGGTTTCCTAACCGTTCAATGTGGTCTAGACGGTCTCCAGTTTGTCGTCTAAAGTCTGCTAACTTGCCTTGAGTTTCTCTAATTTGTTGGGTCACAGTACCTAACTGACTTACGATCAAGTCTAAAGTATGTTAAATTTGTTCCGGGTCCATTAGGATACACTAGGTGACGCTTAGGGATGTTAAGGAATAGGGGGGGCAGCACCTAAACCTATATGCTAACACTCCTAAAGCTCACTAAATGATGCATAAATTGTATGGGCAGCAAACAAGCAATGTGTTACTTCAAATGAATGCTATGTTACACAACTAAGTAAACTCAAATATGGCTATTTAGAACTCTAAGATGACACCTAGCACATGCAAGTTGAGCAAATCTAACTCTGATACGAAGATAATGCGAAACAAACAGGAATTGCAAGGAAATAATAAAATTATTGTAAGCTTGCTACTGTAAGATTAATGAATCATAGGAATTAATTTTAGGAATTATCCATTGACATTTAGCTCTGGCATACAGTTACAATTTTAGGAGAACAGTTCAATTTAAAACAATATTAGAAAATACAATAAAACTAGATGTTCTGTAATAATAATCCAAGGCTAATATCAAGAGCTTTTTCACCTAGAGTTTCCTTTCTAACTCGTACTATATGAATGGCTTTAGCGGAGAGAGATCTTCAGCAAACCAAGCGATGCCACTAAGAAAGTTTCGACGCTGACCGTCTTGATCCACGGGAAGGTAGCCGGAGAAGGAGGCACAAAAGGATGTCCGACGAGTTGTCATTATCCAGGTGGTCGTACGTCGATCGTCCCCGCTAGATGAAATAGAATGCGTTTGACGTAGTCTTCGACAGAATCTTCAAACTCCCAATCGGGATCAAAGAAAGGCGACTAAAGGATATCAATTTGGCCTTGAGAATCGTACGCAAATCCGTGGTCGACTTCAGGATCGGCCATCCATGAACATGAGAGTATTCTTTGTTGTGAACCTTGGAGGAGCCGGCGGTTAGTGAAGGGAGAAAGGAGGAGGGGGCGGCAGATTGGGGGGGTTCGGGTGGAAGAGGGGACGACTAGGGTTAGGAGGGGATTGGGGGGTTCAGGTGGAGGAGGGTACGGCTAGGGTAGGAGGGCTTAGATTCTTTTAGGTTAATTACCAAGGAAGGCAATTAATTAAGCGAATTAATGGAGGTGGAGGAAAATTAGAATTCAAAATCAAATTCCAAAATTAGGGCAAGGGGAAGGGCCAACGGCATGCTTGGAGGGAGGGGATTGAGGGGGAATTTGTGGTTTCCTAAAGTATGAGTCTAATTTAGGAATAGGTTAATCCAATCAAATCTAATTTAAAAAAAAAATTAGATCCAATTAGGAGACTTTCCTATTTTAGGTTTGGTTAATTTAGGAAATAATTCGAAATTCAAATTTGAATTTCAAATTTAATTACTTCGTTCCTAAATCAATTGGGACAATTTAGGTGACCACTAATGATGATTGAAGTCATCATTAAGAGGGGCAAGGGGAGTTGGGGCCGGCGGTGGGCATGGGGAAGAGGGTGGGCCGATCGATTGTGGGGCTTGGCCGACGGCTAAGGTGGGGGAAGGGGATGGGAAGCTACGGCAAGGACTGTTTGGAGGATGGTCGGCGGTTGGGGCAAGGGGAAGGGGTGCTCGGCAGTTGAGGCAAAGTGAAGGGGGCCGGTGGCTTAATGCAAGGGAAAGGAGGTGAGCCACAAGCCGGAGATTCTTCCGCCGACTGATGGATGTTGCTTTGCCCACACGTTGGGACTTCACCACTTAAGAACTCTCAAGCTCAGGAGATAATCAGAAATTTTATTAATCAATCATTAAAAAATAATACAAAGTCTAGGGCCTCTATATATATGCCACCACAACGAAGAAAACTCAAAGACACATATGCCTTTCGGGCTACAACTCACTAAACTCCATCATAGGGGTACAAAGGTCAACTAAAATAAATAAAAAATATAATACTAATACAATAACATAAAATAACTCATAAATAGATTCTCTTGATCGTGGCCGTCAATTTGCGATGTCTCCTGTGAAAGACGCGCTGGAACCTTCCACTGATGTCCTCATCGCTTTGTTTCTTGATAGATTTGCAATGAAATGCCTTTATCTTCTTGACCATGCGGTGACTTGCATAGAAACCTCCAATGCAAGCTATCCTTATCATCTTTCCCTCTTCTCTCTCTCTCAAATGCAAGGGCATCCATCCTAATCTCTCTCCCTCTCCCTATTTCTAAGCTGTCTCTCTAATTGAATATACAACATCTTTCTTCATACAGAAAGATCCCTTAAATAGAGTAGTAAGGGGAATTTCCATCACATGTTCCAAAATTTCTTATTGTTTCCATACATCATTAATGACATAAATACAAATAAACTCCCTTGAAATAACACACGCAACGCATGAAATAAAAAAGTGACATAAAAGAAACATGAAAGAACCATCATTAACTAAGCAAAATCTAATCAGGCCTAAATTGAGTTGGGGCAATGATGAGGATGGGTTCATCTATGTTCTAGTTCATAACCCCTCATGATCAGTAAAAGCTCCTTTCTAAGGAGTTAAAGCAATGGTAGTCTTGCATAACAGTTGGGACACAATGATACAACTTATTGAGCGGAATCCATAAATCTTTCTCAAATGATGATATTGTCATACAATGAAATAGCATTGCTAATAGATAGAAAAAAATGTGAGCACATTAGTGAGGATTTGCTCAAATGCAACTATAGAAAAAAAAAAAAGGAAAGCGCAAAACGGGATGGGATATTCAGTTGCACTTATAGCGACTCAGCTTATAGACAATACCTAGCAATATAGGAGAAAGATCTTCTATACCGAGCAATATAGGAAAAAAATACTCTATGCTGCAAACATGTCTAATATTAAAATCATAAAGATGTTCAATTAAATAAGTACAAAACTCATTTTCCAATAAATTTTGTAAGGGATAGAAAATATTGCAGGGAGCTTTTTAAATGTATTTTGGATGTCGTGTTTAGGATGAATGTGCATAAGAATATAATCTCCTTAATTGAGCTCTAGAGCACTTCTGAGAGTGTATGCTAATACTTTGTACTTGTCATTGTGCTTGGCAATATGCAATCTAAAATTAGCATGAGTTTTATGCATGTGTTCAACAAATAATTCAAAACCACTAGCGGTACTTTGGGAAGTGATCTGTCAAGCATGGAAATCAGACAATTAACGGTCAGTTTGGATTCTTGTTGGATACAAGAAACAACAGTTTTATTAAAGTGAAAAGAACCGTGCAATTACCAAAGGGATGAAGAATTATCCTTCTTTTTGTTGAGCTCCCTTTCTCTCTAGAATATCTCTCAAAGCTCTATCTCTCTAAAGATATTTTTCATCCACGCCACCGCAACCCTCTACCCTCTACCCTCTACCCTCTACCCTCTACCCTCTGCGTACCTACCATACCGCCTTTACATATGAGGAGAGCGTCAATTACAAAATAGACGGGAAATCTATTATAAGATATCAAGTATTCAATCCAAAGTTACATATGAAAAGGCGATACCAACTCGGATAATTGACGATTAGGTTGGCAGTTGAATTGCAAGTACATAAGAATCCTGCCTTTCATAAACCAACCTATTCTAAAACTGATTGGAGAAATAAGAGGAAATGTAGGAAAAATGAAGTAAGAGATGTTTGCCAAAGGTAACTCCTGTTAAATTCTAAAGGACCGGTCTAGCCGGCCCAGCAAAAGGGCCGACTCATTATTTACACTAGGCTTCCGCCTGCTGTTCCACCCAAGATGGGTTCTGCCCTCCTTGGCGTGGGGTTCATAGCCTAAGTAGAGAGAGGATGGGGTGTTTAGGAGGGAAATTTTGAATTAGGAGGGCCGTTTAGTCTTTTGGGGAGATTATTTTGCAAGCTTTAAGTAGAATGTTTGCATTAGGGTTAGGGTTATTTGGAGATTGTGCTGGTTTCAGTTAGTGCTTGGCGTTCTAGGGATCTAGAAGCGTCTAGAGATTAGCGAGAGATAGATCCTCCTCTCGAATTGAGGATCAATTGTTTGTATCTTGTGTTTTTACTTCTCTACTTCATCAATTGCAAGAGTTTTTCTCTGTTATTTCTCTTAAATTCATCTTGGAGATTGTTTTTGAGGCACTAAAATTCAATTTTGGCCAAAGAAAACTCGAATTCTGCTGTGTTTCCTATGAAATTCACCCTTGAGGCAATGGTCAGTTGACATTTGAGTTTTGCTTTGAAGTGGGTATTAAGAAAATCAACCATTAATCTTAATTGTTATATTAAATATCCTTGAAAGGAACACATGGTAGAAGTAGATATATTATTCCTGTACACAACGTACAGACTAAAATTTTATTGTTATATTAAAAGGACGCAACGAACCAAATTGAAGCTGGCTTTTCCTCTCTGTGTGTGTCAAATTCGCTCATTGGTACAGTACTAAATTAGCAAAGCCAAGGAAATCAGGTCAGTTCTCGGTTATACCCATAGGAAAGCAAAATTTGCCTAATGTTACATTATTTATGCAAGATTATGTTTTCAGGTCATTTTGTCATTTAACAATAAACAAATCCTTTACCTCCACCAAAATCCATAATGCAATAAAAACAACGTGAAAGGAATGCAGAAATCAAAAACAAAAAATTCATAGCTTCTAAAGCACCAAATTTTGTGTGGATATAAATAAATCCAGTGGATTAAAACAACACAAAGCTATGCAAAGTTAAATACCTGTGTCCCAGATAGCTAATTTCAACTTTTTTCCCCCTATTGTAACCATCTTTACCTTGAAATCAACACCTACAAAGAAATATGTTAAGAAAATATAGACAATGAAAACAAAGATAAAATACATCACCATAGAGATTGCAAAATTTCTCATTAGTTTGCGAAGAGTAAGAAAATAGTAACTGCATTTATATCTAAAATTGGTAACACCTTAACTAAATATGGCTCTAAAAACTGGTCAGAACATTATCTGTCAATCTGTCAGCATTTTCACCTGACATTTTGCATAGAGAGTAACAGTGTCAAGAAAATAAACTATTTTGCAAAGCACAAATATTTTGCAACTTTAGATATGGAAGAGTATAGATGAACTCGGTTTTCCAAGCACTCCACATGATTTATAAACAAAACTGCTAAGATTGCACGGCCCTACGGTTGGTAAAAGCCAAGCAACCAATGTGATTGGCCAATTCAAGGAAAATTATATTCTTTCATATGACAGTGGAATTACATTGTTTAGGTTTTGAAATACAATACTGGCAAAGAAGATTATTTAGTTTGAAATTGATACCAAGATTCGCATAAGTAGTCTCACATACTTCTTCGCAAGTTAAAAAATCTTTAGAAATTAACTACCAAAAAGCCTATCAACTTAAAATTTTGACACAGTTTGATTAAAGGATGTTTTTTGTCAGAAATAAAGAACAAAACTTGTAAATGCTAAAGTACCCAATTGGTTCCATAAGTTCAGCTCGTGTACCTCATTTGCTAATTGCTATTTGTATGAAGCCATCAAAACAATTTCATAGAAAATCTTCAAATTTGCATTCAATCTAATGCAAAATTTTTCAAATAGATTATAAAGACATATTTGGAATTTTGGATTATAACTAGAATCTGCCATCATCACCACTACAAATCCACTCTCCCAACCCAACCCTATGCCACTGCAACGGTACAACTGTACAAAGCCACCATTGTAGGTGTGGGTAGGGATAAAATTCTACCATATGGGACATAAAAGTACAAAAGTAGACCTTTGATTCAGAAATATATTATCAGGTTCCTACAACTGTCACTCATGATCAGAGATGGCTAATTTACATAAGTCAATAATAGAAAAGATTTAAGGCATAAATAAAAGGGATGATATGGAGCAAAAAAGAGCATTGTATAGGAAAAAAAAAAAAAATAAGTGGGCATAACAGATGGGCCAGGTTAGCTCTTAAACAAGGACTTGACATTGTTTGATTAAAACTAAAAATATGGCAAAACAAATTAAGATCAAGAAATTCATCATTGATCTGAAAACTCAGTGCAGGACAAATGCAGTATGCATGGTATTACCAAACAAGAACAAATTGCATGCATTGAAACATGGATAAAGAAGTGAAAAATAACCAATTCATAAATATCTATTCATCTTAGCAGCGTCCCATGCCAAGTCTTTGTTGGACATCTTTAAATCGTCATGGGAACAGGAAACCTTTTACAAAGTATTGGCATAAGCAAAAGTAGGAGAAACATGCTAACCATGCTAAGATAATAGACAAACAAATTTGCAGATGTAATGCATGAAACGCCAATGGTTAAACTCTTTTCAAACACAAAAGCTGAAGTTTGTAGTACATGTACCATAGCAAGACCAAATTTAGGCATGACACCCAAATGGTAAAATGCAAATTCAACCTAAAAGCTTAAGTTTGTATTGAAGGACGAACACTTGTATATCTACACCAACATATCTTCAAGTATCGGGAGACCATACCAAATACTTTTATATGTCTTAACGAGTTTCTCCTAACTTATGATGTCTCAAAATCCTCCAACAGTAACCTCAAGTTGAAAAACTTCCAAAAAATCAAGTTGAGAGGTCAAATGCTAAAATGACCAAAAAGCTCACTCCGGCATACCTTCCACAGTGAATTATGCAAGTCATTAAAATTACTCCACCACAAGAAGCCCAATAAGGAGGCCAAATGCAAGTCACTCAAGCTGAAACAAACATAAAATCTAATACTCCTTAGATAGTGTGAACCAAATGAAATCAAAGTTGTGCTTGATAAACTATTAGTAAAAACTATTTTTAGACCAAAATCTTAAAGTTCAATTGATACAATACCAATAACAACAACAAGTTTTTATCCCACAACGTGAGGTAGATAACATGAATCATTTTTTCTCCATTATATCCTATTAAGAGAGAACAATACATCTACATCATTGCATGTTCAATCCGATGACAAAATAAACTCCACACCTTATGTTCCTTAAGTACATCATAAAATAAACTTCTAGGCATGGCTTAATCTAGCTAATAATCCATATATTCTAATATGGCAAGCTTTAAATTTTATGGTTTTACATTTTGTTTAGAGATAAAATGATGCTCATATAAAACTATCAAGTACAATTATATGAAAATTTCTATAACCTAATAAGCCAAATTATTTATAGGAAAACCATTTAAAAGTAACTAAAGTTATTTAACAATGGAAGACTTATAAGTATAAATATTTTTTTTCTAATTGATAATTGGAATTCAGATTTGCCAATAATAGATAATAATTTTTTTACCTTTTAAGTGTATCTAATGAAAACTGGATACCTCAAAAGGCACTAATGCTTCGTTTGGGACGGCTTTCTTATTGCTTCTTAAAAAAGTTAAAATTTTAAATTTTTTGTACTTAAAAACCGCTTTAAGAAGAAGAAAGAAAGCCGTCCCAAATGAAGCCTACGTGTGTACAAGAGCACTTTACTAACTTCTAGGATTCCAGACACCAAAGGTTTATGTATACAACCAATGGAAACAAAGGTAAACAAAATTTGGAGGACCCAAACAAAAAATAAGAGGCCATCTACAAAAGCAGCAAATGAGCAGGGTACCATTCAGAAGGTTACATAATTGATTGAAGGGCTAAAGCATTCTTCAACAGGTTCTATCCTCTCTGCATTGCAACAACCAGGTTATACTGGTTACAAGCTCAACCATGTAAAGTCCGATTGCACCACAAGACTTAAAACATTTGAATACTAAATATGTTTTACCTATTAGTTATCATTTTAATTTGCTATAACTGCACGGTTGCAAAGCTATTTCCTTTTCCAGCAATGTTGTGGTAAATAAATGGTGATATAATTCACTATTAGTATGCCTGCCCAAATGTTGATGGATTTAAAAGAGACACAAGTGCCACACAACATAAAAAAATAAAGCATTAATGCATGAGCAGAGAAGCTCCAAGATTTATTCTGTCTTAAAAATCCTCCACAGAAGTTATACTCATTTCAGAAGAAACGATTTATGCTACACACCAATGGTAGGGGATAGATCTTCAAAGGAGTCTGATGTGAATCTCAATAGGAGGCTGCTCTTCCCTACTCCAGAATCCCCAATCATGAGGAGCTTGAACAAGTAATCAAACTCTGGTTGGCTTGAAGGAGATGGATCCATCGAATTGTTCCTGCGGGGCTAAGAAACAGAAATCATTAGGGGAAATAAGCATGAATAATAAAAATAGAGTGAAAAACTAGTAAATTATACAATTTTTGTCATGGACAACCTAGAAAAATAACGTACTAGTAAGATACGAGTTTGCTTCAGAAACCTGCGAGGGGTGCACGGTAAACAACTCCAACGAAGTCGATTCGGGAGACGAAAGTGTAGAAAGGGAAAAGTGAACAGTCGATAAGGAAAGGTGATGGTCGGGATTGATGAAGCGGTGGCGGTGGACCTTATTTTTCCGTCAACAAATGAAAACATGACGTTAGACGTTCCTTTTGTTAGACACCTCGCAAATGAAAATAAAAAATAAATATTTTAATTTTTTATTTATAATATTGTAGGATTCATATCATATTATACTATCACTTCAAATATTAATTAATTAAAATTAGAGGAATAAATTTGAGTTATAATTAATATTACAGGGCGATCAAATTTTTTCATATGCTCTGAAGTCAAATTCAACTTATTTAAAATAGGTAAATTTGAAATTTAAAAATTATATTGTTCGTATTGTATGATCATTAACTAATATTGCATAATTTATGTCTATGGATTAAAGATTCAAATTAGATCTATATTAATTGTAGATCATGATGTAAGATCATGTATTAGAAAGTATGATCGATGGGTTATTTGAACTAATCGTACTTGATGATTTATATTCTTACGGGATAACTTATGACGGTATTGAACTAACCGTACTGTATAATCCAAAAATTGTATTGTACGATCTAACTCGACAAAACTAAAATTAAGATTTTTTGAAACTATATATATATATATATATAATTTTTTTGGGGGGAAAATAGGGGCAAAATATGCCCAATTCTATTTCAAAAATGAAAGGTTACAAAAATTACAAATGAATAGTAAGAAAAAAACAAAGAAAAACTTACAAATTCACACTAGAATATAAACAAGAATATAAAAAACTACTAAAGATAGGAGAAAAGAAAAAAGAAGCAAAAGCTCCTTGAAAGACAAATGATCTCTGCCAAACAGTAGAACCCAAACAACCAAAAAAGAAAGAAGAACACTCCAATAATGAAAAAGCATTCCCAAACAAAGGATGCATTAACAAAGAATCTCCAGACAAGCTGCTCCTCAATAGAAGGTACCACAAGATACAAAATACAAAACCAACTACCAACATAGAGATCCCAAGTGCTTGCAAAAGCACTGAAGAGAGCAGGTTGACAATCCAAATTCTCAACAAAATCAAGAGTAAATCTAGCAGAACTCAAACCAATGAACCTTCAAGATGTCTCCCAGCATCCTAAATAATCAACCATCATATACCAACAGCTCCAACAAAGTTACTCCAATATACAACCATGCACAAAAAAAAAAGCAAGTAACATTGCCCGAAAAACCAAACAAGAAAAACTCGAAAACCAAAAGAAAATAAAAAATAAACTTTAGCCATCCAAGGTTTTTAGAAAAACTTGGTTGCCAAAGAATAAAACCAACAAAAACCACAAAGGAGAAACCCAAAAAACAGAAAAATCTCCAACCACAAAAAAAATAAAACAAACCCCTACACTACATCAACACTAGAATCACTGAAACTAATAAAGCAAATAGCACAACAACAAAAAGTTACCATAACCTACAGAAGCACCCAACAGCCACAAGAACACATGAACAAATCCAGAAAAACAAAAACAAAATCAATGCAAAAAACCTATAAGAGAATTATAAGACTTCCAAGAAGAAATCTTAAAAGAAATATTAAAAATAATAGTTTTGCACAGCAAAACAGAATTAGTAAAAACATTCACAAACTTTCTCGCATTTCTCTCTTTCCAAATGAAGTAAAACAGAACAACAAACAAAAATTAAATATAAATTCTTAAAAATAAAATAAATATTAAGAGAAGAAATATAATCCAATAACTGCTCCAAATTAGGCCTAAAAAGGAAAAAAAAATTACATGAGCTAAACAACCAGAAATAATATTGAAAGAATAATCGCATTAAAAAAAGAGATGATTATAACTTTCATCATCTTTCAAACAAAGGATACAAGTAGTAGAAACGTTCAGATTTCTCTTAACCAGATTATCTGTCGTTTTGAACCCCTTCAAAATTGCCAACCAAGCATAACATGAGAACCTCAGAGCACATCTCTTATGCTAAATAAGTTTATACCAATCCACTTTATTTATATTATCATAGTAACTTGTATGAAACATCATAAAAGAAGGAATAAGAATATTATTCCAAGAAATATTAGAAACTTGAGATTCAGTAATAGCAACATGACATATAATAGAAGTAATAGTCGACACCAAACAGAGAGGATAAGACCAGTAGTTATGCGAAATCCAATCTCCTAGCTTCCCATTAAGTAAATCAATTGACAAACTAATCCTTTCAAGAAAAAGCAATCTCATGAATCTCCCCATTCACCAAGGATCCTAATATAAAAAAAGAGTACTGTTGAGAGAAATATTAGAATGAATTTTACTTCTAATTTCCCTTGCAATAAAATTAATATTCTTCCAGAACCGAGAAATAGAAAATGAGCAAGGTTTCCAAAATAATTACACTTAAACTTCATTCGAATAGCAGAGGTCCCATATCATTAATAATTCTTTAAATAAGAGAACAGTTATAAGAAAAATTGAGCACTCCAGGATCAAAAATACCAAGTCCACCAGCTTCTCTAGGCTTACAAACTTTATCCTAAGCAAAGATATGAATCTTATTACTTGTAGGATCACCATGAAATAGAAAATTAGAGCACTAATGAATTTAAAACAGTATTTAGGCATAGCAATGCCTCTAATCCAATAAGAAATAACATTAGAAATAATAAAATTAAGGAATTGAACCCTACCAGCAAAAGATAACAATTTAGCTTTCCAACCTTCTAAAAGAACCATAATACACCTAAAAAAAGGTTAAAAATAAAAAAATTTAAGATTCCTACAAAAAAGAGGTAAACCCAAATATTTTAAAGGATAAGAAGAGATCCTAATACCAAGAATAAAGCTAATAGCAGCTTCTAAATTACAATCTTTAGAAATAACAAGAGAATTTTTTTGTCAAATTAATAAACAAACCTGTGACCGAAGAGAAGTAACTTAAAATATTATTAAGATTACAAGCATTATCTAAAGTAGCTTTCCCAAAAATGAGCAGATCATCCGCATAAAGAAGATGGGACAGAGAGTTATTTCCATCCTTAATCCCCTCAAAGCACTTAGTAAGAGAGCAATCATCTAATAGATTTGATAAAGCATCCATAACAATACATAAGAGATAAGTGAAAGTTTGTTAGGGATGTTAAGCCCTTATGAACTAGCCCAAGGCTAACCTAGAGGGGGGGGGGAAGTTGAATTAGTATTTAAAAAAATCTTTCAATCATAAATACAAACTCAAACCAAACCAAACCTAGAGGGGGGGGGGGGGAGTTGAATTAGTATTTAAAAAAATCTTTCAATCATAAATACAAACTCAAACCAAACCAAAATTCACCACAAAGAAATTTAAAGTGCGGAAATTAAATACGAAAAAATAGTAATAAAGAACAGAAAAAATTTATAGTAGTTCGGTCAACTCGACCTACGTCCACTCCTAGGAGGCGCCCTCCGAGTATTGCAATAAACTCAGTGACTCTCCTTTTGCTCCTACAGCAAGGAGGAGAAACCTTTACAAAACCTCCTTTCCACCGACACCGGTGAGGCAAAGAACCTGACTCCTTTTGCTTCCTCCTAAAGCAGGTAGAGAACCTTGATCGATTGATGAAGTGGACCTCTCTTGAACCTCCAAGAACAAGGGATGATGATCATAGAAGATGACTTGGATCCTTGCTTGGAGCAACCTTTATGAAACCCCTCACAAACTCCCCCTCACAAGATCCTCTCTCTCTCCCTTTCTCTCCCTCTCATATAGGCTCTCTCAGGTCAAGACAATAGCAAAAGTTGATCTCTTGGGTAGAACAAGAGGTCTTAAATAAAAGAGCTTTAGAATATCTCTTAATTTCAACAAACCGACATTATCATATAGGATGATATAAATATTATCCTGTATAATTAGTAAAAATTAAGCTTAATCAGCAAGGATGAGTTGGGATGACTATAAGGTTTTTGTTTATATCGTTCAGGATGATAGGATATCATCCTGTACGATTAGTACAAGTCGGTGAATATCATCTAGAACATCGCCCTGAATGGATGTCTAGATGATGGAAAAATAACATGATCGTCCAAGTCGATCTCGCGATCATCCCGGACGATTAGTTTAATTCAGTGCATATCGTCCAGGGCATCACCCTTAATAGAAGATGGCCGATATTTGATCATCCATGAATAATTAAGGTTTTTGAACTGATTGTCCCGGCCAATCCTGAAATCGTCCAGGATGATATGATCGAGCAATCAAACCTTAATTGCTTTCCTTAATTACCAGATTAATTTAGACATAATTATACTGCATCGTTTAAGATGATATCCTAGATGATGTCTAAAAATAAAAGCTACCTAAATAGATATGGTGGTTGATTCTTTCTGATTTGAGCCTATCGTCCTGGCCGATAAAAAAATTGTCTAGGACAATGCGCTTAATGATGGCTGCCTTAACCAGGATACCCTAATTAGGGTTTTTGTTTTTAACTGATCGTCTAGGCCGATTTATGGATAGTCCCGGACGATGTGACCCAAAATAGTAAACTCTAAAAATAGTCAAAAAATTTCCCTTAAGTGTGTGTGTGCAATGTTACTTAGCATCAGAAACCATATTTTTTACAATTGACTCAAGAAAAGAAAAAGATTATAAACTGACTCAGACCTAGTCTACCCAATCTTGAGCTAGTTCAAATTACAGTTTTGATTTTGTGGACCTAAAAAGTTAGTAGGCAAGGAAGTTGTAGAGAAGTAGAAGTATTTTCTATCAGATTCAAAATAATAAGGAGAAAGTGGGCAACCTTACATAAGACTCGAAGAAGAATTAAAATACTTATGCATAGAACAATTAAGAATAACAAAAAAATACACATATTATATGCAACCTTTAATAAAAAAATGAAAATATTGGGAAATCCTTTTTGAGCCAGCCTAGAAATTAAAAAATCTCTAGACAATGAGTCAAAAGCCTTATGAATATCTAATTTAGCCCAAAAAATATTACTGGTGGAACAATTAAACTCTCTAAGAAGTTCAGTAGTAATAATGAAGTTATCCGTGGAAATCCTCTTCTTAATAAAACCTGATTGGCTTTTATGAACAATGTGTAGCATAACACAATGAAATCTGTTCACCCAAATCTTA